GCTATAGTATAAACTTACACCTATCCCTCTTTACGTACAATCTATTTTTATGCAATTTTGAAATAATGTGGTTGACAAAACTAATTCTTTTTTTACGTGATCAATTTTTTTATGAGGGAAGAAAATGCTTCATTTGAAAATTTTTAAATTTAACTTTTTGTTAAAATTATGTTACTGTTTTAAAAAGTTACTCTTTTTGTTGAAAGATTGGTTTTAAAATTACATGTTTCTAAGTCAAGACTTCATTTTAAGTACAGTACAATACTATTTGTATATCAAAGAATACTGCTTGTTGATTTTATGCTACCTTGTATTTACTAGATTTACATGCAAATAATAATGATAAATGATGATAAAATAAAAAAGTTCGTGTTTTGTTTGTAAATTGCTTAATTTTTCATTACATTGAAATTGTGGATTCTATCAAACATTTTTCTACAGTATGTATGTACTGTATTTTTTAATCTGGCAGTGTTTGAAACACATCAACTGTGCAAAAAGAGAAATAGATGTACTCAATGTTCACAGTAAATAAAATGCTTTTTTATTATGTCGATACTCCACACCATAAAAAATGTAAGGATCAGGGTATTTGGACAAAGTTGGTCAGGGAATTCAAAACAAAAATTTGAATAGGAACCCTGTATATATGTTATAATTTCCCATATTTTAATTGATTGATAATGTTTTAGTATAATTATTATTTTTCATATATTTAATTAACCAAGAATGTCCACTTAAAATTAATGTTTTTCATTTATTTTTACAAATTAAATATTTTCACTAGGAAAAAAATGAGCATTATTAATTAGCATTTATTCTTAAGATTCAAAGAAAGTTAGAATATGTCTTATACTTTTTAGAAGAATAAAATACAGTAGTTTCTTCTAATTACTTATATTTTCTTTAAGGATTATAGGCTAATTAACTAATTTGTTATGAGTTATTTGTTAATTCTTGTGTAAATTATCTGGTTTTTATTTCATATTTTAAAAAGGGATTTCATATTAGTTATTTCAGCTTGTAAATAATAGAAAGATTGAAAAATAGTATTTATTATCATTTTGTTCATTTTACTGTTTTGTGGTGATGTATGACATTATATTTTACATAGTACTTTCATTATTACTTTAATTAACATATCTAAGATAAAGATTTTTAAAAATATTCAAAAGCTTTATTTATTTAATATTTTTGAATTGGAATTTTAAAAATGATAACTATGTTGAATTGCTAATTTAAAATATTTGTTTTAGTTAAATTTAATACAATATTCTTTTAGTTTACTAAGTAATGCATGATTTTTGAAGATGTTTTCTCTATTAGTTTTGATGATGATAATAAAATGTAATATTATCATTTATGTAATAACAACTAGTTATAACATAAAATCTTTTTAAAATTTCTTTTCTACTGTTACTGTTCCAGGAGTCACATGGGCTTTCACATGCTCCAAAGCACCTTTTTTTTTTTTTTTTTAATTTTTCTTTTATTTAAAATTTTGTAAAAATTTAAAAAATTCCTATCTTACTAACTTTTCAATCCAAATGCCTTGCAATTGACACTTTTCTAATTGGAGAAATGGTTTATGAGCAAATAAAATGCTGGGGTCTGAAAGACCTCATGCAACCACTAATAAAGGCAAGTTTTTACATAAAAGCATTTCTAGCAATGATACTGTTTGGTGAGCTATGACATCTCAAGGTTATCACAACATTGTAGGCAATGTTTAAGTACCAACATTTACATTTAGGCTGTGATGTGGCTAATTAATGATAGTTAAGTGTCTTTAAATTTAACTACAGTGGAACCCCGGTTAATGAACGTCCTGGTTAACGACCAAATCAATTAACAAACTTTTATTTTGCAAAAATCTTGTCTCAGATAACGAACAAAATTTGAATAACAAACTTAACAGCTTTTTGTGTCAAATTTGTAAGCTTGCTGACTTTTAGGGGGAATCAGTTAATCATGTGTCGGTGATGGTCTAGGGTCCATTCGTACATTGGTGGTGGCAGAGGAGACAAAGATGACAAGTGTTTTACAATGAAAATCGTTTATTAGAACGGGAAGATGCTTACATATTTGAGGTGGTTGGAAATGGCTTATCTACAGTATTTTCTCCCGGCACTGAGGAGTGGCATATTGCTGGTCCTACGATAGTGCAAGCTGATCAGTAGTAGCCCCAGAGCGGACGAGGTGAGTTCGCTTGGTCACAGAAGCAATGGTAGGTGACAGAGCTGCAACGACTGAAGCGGTTTGCGAGACACAACACAAATTTTAGTGGGCATGACTTCAGGCCTAATCCAGATGAAGACACAAATTAATCACCATAGAATTTTTAGGAAAACTGCATTTTGATCTTGAGATTTGGGGTTTTTATAGTATTTCTTCCTTGAATCTCGCCTTACGATTAGTCCTGCGTCCCATTTCTCGCTTCCCGATTGCTTTCTTCTTTGTCTCCAGGTGAAAACCGAAACAGATCAGGTCAGGTGAAAGGTTTGTTCCGAGGCATTTATTTGACACCTGTTCGTTGAATCAGATCAGAGATTGTTGATAAGCCTATAAGCCTTTTGCTCATAATTTAGCCTATTATTTCTGCTATCTGTCATTTTAGAACTTTAACAATTGTATATAATGTTTTATACCCGTCAAATCGTTCCCCTTTTCCGAAAATTTAACCTAGATTGACTGTTTATGACTGCTTCTGTCAGAGTTTCATCTTTTCCACAGACATTCCACCTGATCCGTTACGTCATTCATTTTCGCGTCACGTTTGTTTTGACAACTACAGTACAGTTTTTTTCCTTACTTCTCCCTGAACTTTGATCTGACTTAACAATAATGTTTTCACTTTTAACATCTGGATATTAAATTATATTGGGTTGATGCAAAAGTTTGTCCTGTTTTTTTGAAAAGAATCAAAGAAAACCATTTTACAAATAAAATTACAAAAATACTGACGGCTAGAACAAATTAATTGTATTTGCATTAATTTCTATGGGAAAAATTGCTTCAGTTAACGAACAGACTCATGGAACAGATTACGTTCGTTAACCGGGGTTCCACTGTATTTCAAATTATTTTAAATTAAAAGTGATTAGTTTAAAATTGAAGACCAATTCTGTCTGTAAAACAGACTTTGTCTTCAGTTTCTAAAATAAATTTTAAAAAATTTTGATGACCGAAGCAGCCTACAAAGAAAGATGGTTCATAAAAAGTTCTATTCTGGAACAGTGAAAGTGAATAAATGGTGATTGTTTTTCTGATAGACATAGTTCTCAATTGTTACCATCCAACAGAAAGATATTAAAAATGATTACACGATTTCAAGTTTTTCTTTATTATTAATGTAAATTACAATAGAAATAATTTAATAACATTTTAAATTAATTTTCAGTTTTTGAGGATCTTTTGATAAAATTACCAATTTCTATAAAATCTATGAACATTATTATATTCTATTTCATAATGATGATTTATTAGACTAATTACCTAAAAATCTTGTTTCAATATCAATAGTATCTTGTAATTTTGAAAATTAAATGCATAATTTTTAGGTAGGCATAAATATTTCTTTATCAAAGTTGATTTGCATCAACTCTATATTAATTTGATTCAGTTAAACTATTTAAATTTGAAAGAAATGATTTTTACATTAATTTAGGAACTTTTGTTAAAATTCAATGGATGGTCATATTGCAACTAGATTACAAGATCTGAATTTTTGTAGAACTATATTGTAGTTTTGAATATATAATATAATATAAAATTATAAATTTCTTACTGATTATAAAAATTCTCTTTTAATGTGACTGTCAGCCAGTAAAGATAGACTTATATTTATTTTATTAAACTGTTTGTGAATTTATTAAAATTGTAACCGTAAGTTTTTACTAGGTTACATAATTTTGTTTCATCATAAAATTAAAATTGTATAAGAATTAAATTAAAAATAATTTTTTTTATATTGAAAAAGAAACATTAGTGATGGATAATTCAAAATATTGTATTCAATATCAGAGTGATAAAAATGTGTAACCAACTTACTAAGAAAATATAAGATAGTTTCTCTGAATATTCAATTGTTTTTCAGCAATAAATAATACTGTTTATAATGATTTCATTTATAACTAATGAAAATAAACTGGAACTTTTGACTATTATATTGACGAAAAAAATTGAGCTATCGAACTCAAAATAAAGTATGCAAAATAAATTTAGATGCAAAGAAATTTTTAATTTTCTTTAAAATTTGATTTAAAAATGACCATCTATTGATTTGTAACAACTTTTAAAATTAATAATTAGAAATATAGTTACTAAACTCGTGATTAAAAGAAATGGAAATTTATTTGTTTGAACATATCAAAAATTTATTATAATAACAGTAGATATAATTTTTAATATTTATCTATTTGGAATTTTCTGACTAGAAGTTCTTAGAATCTTAGATAAGTAAAATTATTTTAACATTAAAATTGGCATTTGATAATACTGGTATACTGCATAAATTTAAGAATTTGGATAATTAAAAATTTTAGTTAAGTATATTTCAATATCAATCGTTTATACAAATATTATTACTCAATAATAAAACAGTCTGAATTTATGAATTCTGAAATTTAATTCTAAAATAGAAACATTACTTTGAATACAAATTTCATTATTTCATATATATTCATGTTTATGGTTTCATAATTCATTGCTTTTCATATATAATAAAACTTTAATAATTTTATGTTCAGTTATATTTCTAATAGGTATATGCCAAATTTTTAGAAATCTTCATTGGTCATTCTAATTGTAGAAGAAGAAGAAAAAATTATTCTTATGTTAAAATTTTCCCGTTTTAATCTAAACAATTACTTATTTTATAAATATTTATTATTATTAATATTAAAATCAGTTGATGGTCATATTAATATGCTGTAAAATTCAGTTTTATAAAAGAAATATGCTATAAAAACGATTATTTTGATTTTTTTTCTAATTTTCAGTCAAAATTATCATCGATTTCTGCCATTTTGACGGTGCGTACTTTATTTTGAAAACTATTATATTTTATTGGCATTATATTCTTCTGTTATTTTAATCTTAAAATCCATTTGCAGTTTCATGATGCTGAAGATGCTAAAAAAGCCTTAGAACAGTTAAATGGATTTGAATTAGCAGGTAGACCTATGAAAGTAGGTCACGTCACAGAAAGAACTGATACTGCACAAGGTCCTTCATTTTTAGACAGTGATGAATTAGATCGTACTGGTATTGATCTTGGAGCAACAGGAAGGCTTCAATTAATGGCAAAATTAGCAGAAGGTAAGATCTGACAAAAATAAAAGTTCTATTCTTTATTCTTCTGTTTTCAATATGAAAGGGGGAACCTTTCAAAAATTATTTTCTGTGTTTCTCTTATTTAATTATATAATAATTAATAATATAATAAAAAATTTTAATAGTAGCCTATGTCAGTATTTAAATGTAAATGATCAATTTAGCTACATATATATATATTAAATTCAAGAATTTTTCAGACAAGTCGTTCTTATTCATTTCTTCTGTTGCTTAATGGTTTACTACAGACTGTACTAATACATTATTTGACCTAGAACTTGTTCCCTCTTGAATTTAATAATACAGTAGAGTGCCAATTATCCAAAAGAATTCCAGTTGGCAAATTTAAATTTTTGCCAGTGCTGTGGCGCTGCAGTCTTTGGCTATGTCTTGGGCTACTCAAATATTTTACATTTTTGATACTAAATTAACTTCTGAAGTATAATTTTTTATTGTTTTTATATTTTTTAATATATTTATTTTGTTTGTACAAAATAAAAAAATAATTTTTAATGATACAATAGTCTTCATTAGGCTTAACATCGACGAAAATGCAACGCGAAGCGACATGCAACGGAGAAAAATTTCAAGATGGGATAAATTAATATATTTTTCGTACATAATTGGTTATCCAAAATATCGATTTTCCGAACAACCCCAGTCCCCAATTGATTTGGATAATCGACGCCCTACTGTACTTGTAAATATAAATCAATAGTATCATCTACCTTTATCTTACTCATTTCTTTTGTCACAAAGTTTACTAATCAAAAACATCTATTGAAAAGTTAATTCGTCATTAATTAAATATTTTAATGAGCAATATTATGTGTGATGAAATATTATCATATTACATGTTTCTGTTAATAGTGAGGTTGCGGCCAGTTTTCTATGCAAAAACGTGAATGTCAGATGTTCAGTGCAACCTTCCTGTAAGCCTAGAAGTTTGACAATGGCATTTCGAATGTTGCTGGAATCATGCTCAATGTTCCAAATGCCAATGTCAAACTTCTAGGCTTACAGGAAGGCACTGCCAAATATCTGACATTCACATTTTTGCATTGAAACCTTCAGCTGCAGCCTCGCTAATATTCCTGTTTGTTTGTTTGTTTGTTTGTGTGTGTGTGTAAAACAGTTTGCAATAAGATTTTCTTATTCTAGCATAAAATAGCCTCTAAGTTTTTTGTTTGTGTTACTTTTGTTTCAGAGGAGCTAACACATGAAGAAGCATTGCTTCTTCAGGTGTACAAATTTTTATTTTTATTTCTAGCTTGTTTTAATTTGGTTCCTTGGAAATGCAACAGAATGAACACAGTATCAGACATGTAATAAATTTACTGAAACTGGAAAAACATCAAATTTATCTGCTATATCCTATATTTGATATAGTCTACATATTCTCTAATAATTAAACAATTATATAAAAATTTTTCACAGGTACTGGTTTTGAAATTCCTCAGGCAGCTGTAACAGCATTACAAATGACTCAAGGAAGTCTTATTGGACAACAAGCTGCTCCACCAATTGCAACACAGTGTTTTATGTTATCAAATATGTTTGATCCTACAACGTAAGTTATTTTTGTTAATCTTCTTTGTAACTTTTTTGAAATATTAAATAATGCAAAAATATAATATCATAATAATATTATTTTTTGTTATTTTTCAATTCAAATATTAAAGTTACATAATTCGGTGATCTGCATTTTTTTAAAATTTGAATAGAAGCTGAGAGTACAAAGAACTACAAGATAATATAAATGAATAATGATTTCAAACATAGATGTCATTAATCATAACTACAGTGTTTGTAAGCTGTAAACCTGCACAATATGTATTTTAGCAATCGTTTTTAAGAAAAGAAATATGAGAAGTAAATGCTTTTTGGACTGAGATAACATTCAATGAAATTTTTTAAAATGAAATACATAAAATCGTCTTTTCTAAGATTAAAGCTAGGGATGTATTGATGCCAACTTTTCTGATGTATTTACCAACCAATAAATCAGCTAGCAGTTGCTGATAAAACTTCATTATTATTCTGTGTTTCTTCTTTCTTGTTTTCTGTTTAATTTTTTCTGAGTTTGTTTTAGCATTTATCATCATCAAATAATAGTAAATAAATATGTAAATAAAACAAATGAGGTGATTGACTAAAAATAATTATTGTTTGGTAACAATTTTTCCCCAACATTTTTGAGGTTTAGAAGGTCAAGTCTCAGTTGGTAGTTGCTGTGCATGTGCACAGCAACTACCAACTTTATGCAACCTGTTGTGAATGGTTTGGGTGGGCACAGATGCACCCATTGACAATGACAGGCTGCTTTGAATGTCACATGCCATTGGGAATGGCTTCTGATGGATTGTTTGGTGGTGAATTTGCCAGCCTGTACACTCTGTCATGGTAGATTGCACTCAGGCTGGTGCAATCCACTCTTTTGGCATGTTCACATACGTTCCTACATCCATTGTGTTACACATTGCTAAATGGTATTCATATGCCCAACATACTTGGGCAACTGCATGCATCGACAAATCAAGGTCATTCAGTTCCACTATTCAGTCTCATTCTACAGTGCTTGTCTTTATAGCCTGAAACTGTGTCCATATGACCTGATATGTATGCAAACTTAATCATTTGCATATCTTTGTTACATCTACTGGTTCTGCAATTTGCATGTAGCTATACACATTCTTTGTGGTGTTGCAATTTCACTTTTGTGGAGTGTATATAATAGCTATATTTAATCGTTAAGCCTTTGCCTCCAAAGGTACCGATTGACCGTTTACCCCCCCCCCCACCCATTGTTAAGCAAAAATTTGAAGGTATCGATTCATCGTTACCCTAGTAAAAATCGATTTTTATAAAATTTATCACAGCAGATGTCAGCACTTGATGGCACCGTTTTGTTTATCATCTGTTTTACATATTTTTCTCCAGGTGGTGTTTTGTTGACTTAAAAAATTTTAATTAATGCTTTTTGTTCTTAATTAATTTTTTTATTTTATTTTTAGCATATTCATGAAATAATATCACTATAATAAGTTCATTTTTTATGCTATAATAAGTTTATTTAGCTATAATAATTCAACGTGTTATAAATACTGTATTTTGACAAGTATAAGTTGCTGTCAAGTATAAGACACACCCCTATTTTGAGACAAAAAATTTAGAAAAAAAAACTGTTTTAATGTGATTGTGTAAAGATGCATTTTATTCGGTTTTTTATTCAAGAATATGACGGATGGATGAATCGATACCTTTATTAAACTGAAATAATTGTCATTTCTTAATGTAAACTCAGAGGTCGCATGATGACAATCGACAGAACATGGTTGCGATGACTCATGTGTCGCTACTCTGATAATCTAGACCAGTGTTCCGCAACCTTTTTCTACTTGCGGCACACCCATGACTCACCCACGGCACACCAAAATGTTATTCCCCTCAAAAACGTATATTCTACTATTAATAGAATTACGTAATGCCACTAACCTATTATTATTGTTATTAAACAGACATCAACACCTACCTGTGAGCAAATTAATTTTACATATAATTTCTTAGAATACATAAAAATGCGTGGCTTGTAAAAATAAACAAACATTATCTTATTTCATCAGTGCTGCAGCAGAAAATGAAATACAAGCATAAGAAACACAACAACTGTGATAAAAATATATAAATAAAACTTGAAATTAACAGAATATGTAAAAGTTCACGTCACACCTTTCACCATGTGACGGCACACCAGTGTGCCGCGGCACACCGGTTGCGGAACACTGATCTAGACACTCTAGCCATTCAGTTGAGGGACCACTGCACCACTACTGTAGGTAATTTCACTGTGAAAATGGTTACCTATCGAGTATAAGATGCACCATGATTTTGAGCCCCAAAAAGTAGTAAAAAAAAGTGCGACTTATACTCGTCAAGATACGGTACTCAAGTTATGACCTTCAGTTCTGACATTTTATTTTTTTTTATTGGCTGTTTTTTCTAATAAATTTTTCTAATAAAATATCTTGAAAAATATCATATTTAAAACGAAAGATATTAATAAATGTATGTAATTTTTTTAATATGAATATAATGATAATTTGATTTTTGAATCTTTAAAATTAATATTGCCTTTGGACCGTTTACAAAATTAATGTAAACAAGACTGCAGTGGCAAAGGGTTAATATAGCTATTAATATAATATTGAATTGATTTAAAAATAATGAAAAATTACTCTTATGTATATAATCATGAATTTGTTATATATACAGTAGAGCATCGTTTATCCGAATCAATTGGGGACTGGGGTTTTTCGGATAACCGATTATGTATGAAAAAATACATTAACCTATCCAGTGTTGAAATTTTTCTCCGTTGCGTGTCGCTTCGCGTTGAATTTTCATTGATGTTAAGCCTAATGTAAATTTTTTAAAATAATAATTGTGGCTATTGTATCGATAAAAATTACTTCTTTATTTTTTTACAAACAAAATAAATATATTGAAAAATATAAAAACAAAAAAAAATATACTTTAGAAGTTATCTAGTATCAAAAACGTTCGATTCAGCATGACACACAGTCCTCAGAAAAACACCACACAAAAGTGACAGTGCTGCCAGCTAAAACATACACAAACACACAAAATATTGGAGTATTGAAGTAGCCCAAGATATAGCCAAAGATTGCATCGCCACAGCACTAGCGAAAATTTAAATTTGCCAACTGGAATTCTTTTGGATAAACGACGCTCTACTGTATATATATAACAAATTCATGATTATGTACTGTACATAAAAGTAATTTTTACATAAGAGATTATATACATAAGAGTAATGTTACATATATATAACAATTTACATTGTTATAATTACTGTTATTCTTATAGTAATTAAAAATTTCATTTTAAATTTGTTATATTGTAGTGAAACAAATCCAACATGGGATGAAGAAATTAAGAATGATGTTGTAGAAGAATGCAGAAAACATGGTGGTGCTCTTCATGTTTTTGTGGATAAAATATCCCCTCAAGGAAATGTTTATGTTAAATGTCAAAGCATAGCAGCAGCAGTGGCTTCAGTTAATGCACTTCATGGTCGATGGTTTGCAGGTAACAATTTTAACAATTAATTAAAATATAATCTCTATTTTTATAGAACTTGGTTTCTTGATTACATGACTGTATTTTAAAAATACTAATTTTATTAATATATTTACTTTTCAATGATAAGATTGTATTCAATATTAGGAGTGATAGAATAACAAGTCTCGTTTTCCTTTATTTCTTAGACACTCGTAGATTGTCTTTCTTTGCATAAATTATATGAAATTTATTATATCATAAGCCATTTCTTCTACATGTTACATTTAAAAGTAATTTATAGTTTGTTTTCTTATACAGTGGAGCATCATTTGTTTTGAAAGAACCATAACCAAAAATAGTATAATTTGAAATTTAAGTCAGTTTTGTGAGCTTTGATTCATCTTGATAATTTTTATTAATAATTATAATTTTTAACGAATGTTTTGTTCTGTACAGAGTGGTTCAAATGTGTCTCATATTGAATAAGCTAATTAATTATTTGATTAGGAATGTTTTTGTAAGTCTAACTGATTTGGGGACCTATTCTGAGCTCTTCCAATAACTCAACGAGAGCGATACACGGGACATTTGATAAGTCCCCTTAGTGAAAGGCAGTTAATGAACCTTAGACAAATTGCTATTTTGTGCTCCACGTTAAGTGGGTTTCGCTGTGTGTAGTTGTCAAGATGCATCTGGGTTCAATGCTATCGATAGCTGTTACGCTTTTACCAATCACAGTCTAGTTAACATTGTATTTTTGTCACGTGACTGCAACCTGCTATTTTCTAAGTGAAGCATGTGGTTTTAGCATTGTCATGTACCAGTGCCAATGAAATAGTTTTGTTTTAAAATGTCTAAGAAAGGACAATGAAGCCAGCGAACTAAAAGTTGCCAGTTTGAGATACTCATTAATTTTATGGAAGACAACCCTAAATTAATGTCAGGAAGTTAGATGCTTACTTTACCATAAAAGATTGCCAGAAATTGTGGCAAGAAATAGCTGACCATCTGAATTCTGATAGAGGGGCTCACAAAAAGATCCAGAAAGATGGTGAAAAGTAACTGATAGTCATATATTTATATTCGAAGCTATCATTTTAATTTATACATATGTAAATGAAACCTATTTCAGAAATAATGTTTATGCTATAACTACTTACTTCAAATTTTAACAAGAATGCAATTACATTATTCATAAATAGTTAAGGTTATTATTTTTAAGCAATACAACAAAATAGTTTATTAACTCTCTCTCCAATTGCTCGTGAAGTAAAATCATTCTTACACCAAAAGATGCCGTGTTGTTTACACTTTCGTTGTGTTCCTAACGGCAGCTCGATGGTGATCGATAACAAAAGCTTAGTTATTGCATGTGGCTATCGGGACCGAAAACAGAACGTATGGCTCGGAATAGCATTTTCACACTTGATTAAATGTGAATCACATGGTTCCGATAGAAACTGGTTTTTATCGTATTCATTAGCTTAACGATACTACTCAAATAGGTCCCCTGGACTCCATACAGTTCCAAAAAATGACCATTGAGATGCTACTTGTTTTTTCCGTGGAATTCTTTGCCATGTCATGGTCTGAAATGTGCAAACCAGATTTAACAAAGTTTTGGTTTTTTATTGATTCTTTCCACATAAGTCTGAATAGACTTTAATTAGAACCATCCTGTATATTTATTATTAAAAGCATAATAAATTTTTATTTCACATTTTTTCATTTTGATGTCTTATTGGTACATAGACACAATTCATATACCTGATTAAAAGTGCTAAATTGTAAAATTAAAAATATTCTGGCAAAGGCAGATAGAATTAATAATGGACATTACAGATATAAAATCAAGAATAATTTCAACCTACAAATCTAACAAAGCAAATTTATATCAGGAATTTTTTTGTAGTATCCTGTAATAGGAAGACAGTTTGTTTATAAACATATAGACTTCCCATAAATATTGTGATTGTTTCACACTCATTAACCAATAATTGCTCTTTCTCTGTTGCTAATTCTCTTATCTGAAAGACAAAACACATGATGGATCAGTTTCCACCATTTTAATTCCAGGAATGTGAAGAGTAGTGTTCTAGAATTTCTTAGTATATTTTCTAAATTGAATATGATGTAATTTTTTTCTGTTATAAATAATATATGTCTAAATTCATTGTAAATGAAGATTTGATCATTGAAAAGAATAGGAATGTTTTACCATGATGTAAAGTGATATATAAATGATGCTCTACTAAATTTTCATGTTAGATACAGGAAAATTTTAAAAAAATATATTGCATGTAGTTCATAGCATTACTACTAACAAAAATTACTTGTACAGTTTTTGTTTAATTATAAATCATTAAGTAGAACGAAGTGATTATACACATTTTCCATGACAGTTAAAGTAAAACTTGATTCAATAAATTTATTATTTTTACCATAATATAATTCATATAATGAAATCTTATATATTCATAAAATTTTAAAACAATAATAATTTTATTTATTTTAGGTCGTGTCATTACAGCAGCATATGTACCTGTAGTAAATTACCACAGTTTATTTCCAGCTGCAATCACAGCAAGTACATTGTTGTAATCACTTTTTGTAAGGTAAAAATTTCACCCGGATCATTCATCACAAAATAATGTGGATTTCATTCATAAGTGTAAAAAGTATCACAATTTAATGTTGTGATTATCTGTAGTTTTTTTATAGCACTTTCTGGGTACACTTTTAAACTTTGATCTTTTGAAAGACTAAATTCTTACAGATATTAGAAAGATTGTACAGAAAGAAAGCATATGTGGTGGTGTATATAATTTTGTCAGTTTTCTTGTACCCAAATGTAAAAATAAAATTACTTGTGCAGTTGATGTCTATTTCTTAAACATTTTCAATTTCTGTTAAAACAAAACTTTTTAAAATCATAACCTTAGCAGTCTTTTAATGTGCTGATTTACATGTTTTAAACAGAAAATTTTTGTTTTGAATGGGGGGAAGTTGGATGCAATAAATTATTGTTTGTTAACAATTCTGTATAATGTAGTTTACATTATATATACAGTATATATATATTTGCTCATCTACAAATGAATGAATGTTAAAAATATGATGTCCCCTTTTAATAATTTTTTATTAAAAATTTTAGATGATAAATCTTTTTCAAGCTCATTCATAATTTACTGCTTCCACGGATATCTAAACTTCACTTTACTTTTTATTAGCAGGCAGAAGAAAAGATCTGTTAATTTAAATAATAATAATAATAATAAAGATAAAGACAATAAAAAATTTAGTAGAAATTACAGAAGATAATCCAATTCATCTAACTATTACTAATTAGTAAAGTTACTTATCATTTTAAACTTGTATTTTACAACTTGCAGTTTATAAACTTTGCAGTTATGTATACATAACAAGAATGTATTGGAATTGTGTAAAATTTGACCCACCCAGTTTTTTGCAAATCTCCATGTTTTGAGATCTGAACCCAAAAAAATGTAAAATGGGGAAAAATTCTATGGATGTGTGTGCTCACGCTTGAATGATTTTTGGACTTTGAATGTAGTCATTTTTAGTGCCTACTTTTTGTGAGGATTTGGTGGAAAATGCTATCTGACTGATTTTTTTATTGTAGAAATCTTTTCCCTATAGTCTAAATAACATATATCAAGATTCATCAAAATCTGTTAAGTACAGTAGAATGGGATGTAGAGAGCTCTGAATAGGGTCAGTTTAATTATAATCACCCTGTACTTAAAATTTAAATATGAATAATTCTGTGTATTGCCATCTATTGCTGCAGTTCCCAACTTATTTTTATTCCTTTTCATATTACTAAAAAATGTTGGAACCCTGACAATTTTTTAATGATTGTAGATAAAACAGCAAATAGAAACACCAACACCAAAAACAATTTATTGAAAATGCAAAAAAAGATTAATAATGGAAAGTAAATATAATACCATTATTCAAACTAACCATAACTAAACTGTGAAAAGTTAAACTTCTTTTTTTCAATATTGTAAATAGTGCTATTTTACAATTCCAGACAAACCCTTTGTTGGTATCTGCCCTTTCAATCTCCTTGTCACTAAAAACATTTGAAGTATTTGCTATATTTTTCTTCAAAACTTCTCAGCCAACACACCATGATTTTTAATTTGGGTATACACAATACTAGAATAAATTTCCACAGTTCCCACTCTATTTTTATATGAGAAATACTTAAAATTTCAGAAAACAATTGCAGTGCAAAACTAATAATCTTTGATATACTAGCTTGTACTCTATGCCGTTGCACTTCAGCACACTACAGATGATAGGATATTAATTAAAATACTTGGAAAATAAATATTCATTTTGCATATAAATATTTATCAACCTTTAATTTGTAAAAAAATAATCTATGGACCAGAAGTATCCACACACTACAAAAGGAGGGGCACTAGTTTAAAAAAAAATCAGAATTGAGTTGCATAACTTTCCCCACTGTTAAGATTTTATTTAAAAATAACTTTTATACAGTATTATTAATTAATTAATACTATCAGAGTTGATAGATATACTGGTTCCTCGGCTATGTTCTAAAGAAGAGTTAATGTATCAAGCAGCCAATAGCTGATGCTTCAGTCACTTTGTGGTGGGAAGAAACCATTTTATCCACTCAGTTGGTAGCTAGTTTTGCTGCTTTCATGCAGTTTTGTAATTACTAGTATTATGTATAAAGAATGGAAAAGTATATTTGGGTTTTGGATAATAAGATGATAATTTGAAATTACAGATGATGTAGATAAATTAAATTTTCAATTTAATGTATCCACAGTGCTTATATTGCTACTTATTGTGAATGCAAGTTTTTTACATAATGTTTGTTTCTGTATATAGTGTGTCTGTTTAATAAATAGGTGAATTTGCATTTTTCTATTGCATATGTTTGACAATATAATTGGGAAAAATATGGCTTATCCTCTGATGCATTTAAACAGCCGTAGAAATTTAACTCAGATAAAGGCAAGCTTTATTTTTTTCAAAATACTTTAACTTCAATGCTGCATAAATTATAGTTTTACATTCGTTCAATACAGTGAGAAATAGTATTTAGAATAAAATAGTTTTGTATTTTTGACATAGGAAATTACATTTCTTATGACATTCACATTGAGTCTATAGTATTTTGGTACTGTAATTCATAAGATATTCTGCATTGTCAAAAGTAGAATATGAATGAAGATGTATTGATGGTCTACTGATACCTGTCCTAGCATGCACACACAATATGACCAAAATACCACGTGTCTTTCTTTTAGATTCTGTGTCGTCACTGTCATCTAAATACTGTATATAAAATTGCTTGTCCTGACTGACTCATTCACTGACTGATTCATCATTGCCCAGAGCAAACCGCAGAACCTAAAGAAGTGAAATTTGGTACACAGTTAGGCTACGTCATGAAAACAATCACTAAGAAGGGATTTTTCGAAATTCCCCTGCGGGGGAGAGGGCGAGCATTAAGGCTTAACCGAAAGAACGGCTTCTACTGTACTATTTTAGGTGCGATTTTTTGTTTTTAACTGCGTTTTAGTAGGGTATACCATGCGAATGCACACTAAGAAGAGATTTTTCGAAATTCCCCCGCGGGGGAAGGAGAGGATTAAGGCTTAACCGGAAAAACGGCTCCTACTGTACTATTTTACATGCGATTTTTTGTTTTTAACTGCGTTTTAGTAGGGAATGCACACTTGGAAGAGATTTTTCGAAATTCCCCAGCGGGGGGAGGGAGAACATTAAGGTTTTATCGGAAGAACGGTTTCTACTGTACTATTTTACATGCGATTTTTTGTTACGTTTAGTCTTCATTAAGTACTTAAGTGTATTAAATTAATAGCATTTCAGACATCGTTATAAATGTTTTTATATATTTCGATTTTTTAACCAAATGTTCGAACCTTTTTAAATTCGAATTTGTTATTGCGTATCGGTTCGATTATAGAACGAATGTAAACGTTTCGGAAAATTGATCAAATTGAAAATAGTTCGTTTGATTCTCGGCAATTCTCATCATTCTCGGCGGTAGGTGTTATATAACAATTATTATGGTTGTTGAAATACTGAATATAAATGGGGTTTGCTTGCAAAACCGTCGCGGGTAACAGCTAGTGCGTACATATGTGGATTGTTGATTGCTTGAAAAGGTTCGCTTAAAACTTAAAAGACAATATGTTCCCAAAAATTTAGTTGGCCCTCGAGAAAATTTTGCGTCATACAGTGGCGCACACACTTAAAAAGGTTGCCCATCCCAGGTCTGTACATATTAGTATCATCTAATGCAGGGATGGGAAATCTTTTTCTATGTAATACCCCGTTCGCACCTAGCATTTCGATCTAGATTGTGACTAAGGTCTGAGCCAGTTCCGCGGTGCGAACGCTCTCAACCGTTTCAATCGCAATCGACTGGAGAAAGTTCTCGAAACTAGATCCAGTTATAAGAGAGATCCCACAATCCCACGCGCGCGAGAAAATACAAGATGGCTGCGGAACACGTGTCGGGCTATCGACAGAGAAATAAAAAAGACATCTGGAGAGACGACGAAATCTGTCTATTATTATATGTATGGCAAGAAAAAGTCTTTATTTCTAACCAAAACTTCCATTTTGTTTGTTGCTGTTTGTGACTTACCGCGTAGTTACGTCAGTTTTATCATCGCGTGTAATAGCCAGGTTCTCTAGCGGACTGCCTGTGCGAACAGCACGACGTTCGACTAGCGACAGTCACAATCCAGATTGTAGGTAAATCGAGATCGAAGTGAGTCGTGGATTGTGTGCGAACGTAGTATAAGGATCGTATTTAAAACTTTTGATCTGACGCCGACCGCATGCAAGAGAAAAAAGAAAAAAATGCGGGTAAATCATATTTATTTGTGATTATAAACTAACACAGGTATACTTAATTGTGGAACTGATGTGAACATATAGGAAGTATTTGATTGAATATTAGTCACTATTAGTTTTGATGCGAGTCTGTTATCTGATTTCTTGTTTTTTCAATAAATTTAGGTATTTGAACAGTTTCTCCTGCATATGTTGTAGAAAATGATGATAGAATGTGCTGCAATCTTCCCTAAGGGAAATTGATATATTTATTAATATTTTGTGCGACACGGGCTGCACAAAATATTAATGCAGGCAGCGGGTTGTTCACCCTTGATTTAATATAACTATGCCATCTGTATAAGCCTCTCTATACTGAAGTTAAATATACAGTGTCTAAGGAAATCTTAAGGAACATTTAAAAACCGCGTCGGCATTCTGCTCTGGTGTCTTGGGTTCGAGTTCGGATCAGATTCTAAATTTCATGGGCCGTTTGACTCGCCTACGTTGGGGTTCATATTTTATCAGTTGTCTGCGTTATCGTGGGCACGACCGAACTCATAATGCTTAGTACTCGCAGAGCGGTGTTAAAAAAAAAGTGGACTCTAATCCAAACTCCGAAATTTATTCACGCAAATATAAATCCCGTTCTCACTGACTCTACATAATGTACAGTACAATACTGAATCTATGTGGTAATTACACGCAAGAAAAATTCAATTCATGGATATGCTTTAACATTGACGTGTTTCTTTTCGCTACGAACTTAATTTCAACAACTTAATTTATTACCAAACTAGCAGACCCCGCCACGCGTTGTTGTGGCTCAAAATGTATGTATTATAAATTTATAACACATCCCCGTGGGGGGAAATTTTTCGAAAAAATTATTCTTAGTGTACATTCTCTTGACGTACCCTATTAAAACGCAAAAACCCGCATCTAAAATAGTATAAATAGAAGCAGAGTTCTTTACCGTAAGCCTTCATCCTAATCATCTCCCTTCAGTGCGATTGAATTTCGACATGTATATTATATAAAAACACGTGCGTATTCGAATGCAGCGTTGTGTGAAAATTTCAAAGGAATCGGTAGAACAAACGAACATTACATTTTTATTTATATAAATAGACTAGCTTACCCGTCGCGCATTGCTGCGATCTCAGAAGAAAGGAAATTTAAGCAAACTCGTTATGACAAAATTCAATTTACATTTTATAATTTTTATTAAAACTTATTATTACATTATTACTTCGAGTCGATATTAAAATTTGAAAAAGGGGGATACCTAGATCGGTAAAATACGCGAATTTCTTCCTACAACTTCGGTTGTTGTTCGGGGTACAGTTGAGGTTTTAATGAAGTTCGAGCGAATACATAATTGGTAAAAAAGAAAGTTGAAATAAAGTGATTAAACAAAAATTATTACAAATATCGTAAATAACAGTTCACAAATGCATATACAGTATAGAGATATTTTTTGAAGGGGGTAATGGTCTTCACAATTTGAAATCGATCGAACACACTGTGCTCGAATGCTCGTGTAAACGCGCGCCATCTATCGTAGGATAAATGTACTATGCCAAAAACCTTCGCGGGAGTGTATTAAAAAACTTTCCGAAGTTTTATGGCAATCGTACTATGCCACAAACCTTCGCCGGAGTATATTAAACAACTTCCCAAAGTTTCACGGCAATCGGATAAACGGTGTGGTAATGCATGAAGGACAGACAGACAACACACACACACACACATTCATTTTTATATATATAGATGATCTGCTTTAGTTCATTTTCACAGAAAAGCAAACTTAGGGCATCGTACTCGTAGCGCCATCTGTTGGACATAAAAGCCTTAACCTAGATTTATCTTTTAATTTATATGAATGTTTAACGGAATAATATACAGCCTATGTCCACCCTGAAGTTCCATTCTAAATATTGGTGAAAGAATTTTTGAAATCGGATGAGTAGTTTCGGAGATTACCTGCTGCATACAAACTTACCTACAAACATACTCTTTATAATATTAGTATAGATGTTACCGCTAAAGCTCGAAACTCGCTAATCTGCAGATTAACTAGCGTGATCGGTTAAAGTTGTGAAAATTGTTCCATTTCTCAAATTACCTAATGTATCTAGAGTATCTAGGTAATCCGCACATTACCTACTAGGCACTCGGTAAAGTGAAAATAAGATCTTTGCCACAAATAGGTGTGCTTGTCGCAGAAACCAAGTGCTATGAAATTCAAAGTGTCACCAATCTTTAGACTGCACAATTGGATAATCTTACCTATGGTGGGTAAAATGGCGGCTCGTCTCTGATTCCAGCAAAGAGAAGAAAGGAAACGGCGGGAAAGCATGTTCAAACCTAACCTAACCTATTCTAATAATTTGGTGGTAATAATTATGGTAATTTATTAAAATAGGTTAGGTTAGGTTAGGTTAGGATAGAACGTGCGTCCCCACTGTTTCCTTTCTTCTCTTTGCTGGAATCAGAGACGAGCCGCCATTTTACTCACCATAGGTAACATTAACTGCACAATTACATCATGCGATCACCAGAAAAAGTATAACTTTATTATTTTTCGTCTCCGGTTCAAAAGTAGGGTATCGTTGAAGTCGTCTCGGTTCCCTCAGTTCAGATAGATACTCAAAGTCCCGAAATTCCATAGGTGGTTATCTATATAATAATTTCCCTAATTGTATTAATATTTTAAATCGTTTGATTTTTTTGTATGTTTTTTAATTGGTTGATGATTGATTCTATCAACTAATTTGTCGATTATTTGATTGTATTAACTTGGTTCTTTAGATATCGAAAATTAAATAAAGAACATTATGTTAATTTAAGCGTACAGAAACGTTGCTGTTGTTTCAGCAAAGATCTTATTTTCACTTTACCGAGTTCCTAGTAGGTAATTTGCAGATTACCTAGATAATCTGCACATTACCTAGGTAATTTGAGAAATAGAACAATTTTAGCAACTTTAACGGATTACCCTAGTTAATCTGCAGATTAGCTAGGTAATTTGAGAAATAGAACAATTTTAGCAACTTTAACGGATCACGTTAGTTATCTGCAGATTAACGAGTTTCCGAGCTTTAGCGGTAACATATATATAGATTGCTCGTTAAATTGAAACCAACTTCGAGATTAATTCGGTATTTTAATTATTATTTGAAGTAATAAAATGGCCTAAAAATTACTATATTAAAACTTTCAAATAATTTTTTTTGAATGAAAAACTAGAGGGTCCTCGATACACACCAAATATATTCACACTTAAGTCGTTCTAACAGGAGCTTACATGTATATTTCCTTTAAAATTTTCATTAATACTGTCGTAATGTATTTTCTAATTAGTATTTAGCAATTACAATAAATTATACTTATTGTAATTGCTATAACAGTTAAATTATATTTATTGTAGTTTGTGTACAATATTTCCTATTCATTGTAGATTTCGTATAAATTCAAATATTTAAGTTGGAATTTTTAGGAACAACGTACATGGAAGACCCCCGCACTCTTTCTAAATTTAAAATAGTTAAATAGCTTTAAACTTTTATTATACAGTTTATATTTAGAATGTATTTTATTTGTATTATTCATTACAAAATACTTGATGTGACGAATATAAACAATTTAAATTGTAAACAACACAAAGAAGTAATTCTAGATTTTTTTTTATACAACTTATATAGAATATACTTCATCAACCAGTTATTTACACATACTTTCCAACTACACTAGATATTGTTATGCCTAAGAACTCATGAATTTCTATTAAAATCTAAAAACCGTATTTTCACATAAACGATGACGACAGAATTAAAACATTTCATTTTTCATTCACGATTTAAAAAATATTTCTCAAAATTGATAGAAAATATCGACATTGATTATTACGCTAGTGCAGAGAATTTTTTCAAGTTTAAATAATTAATATAATTTTTATTTTTAAAAAGTTGGTTCTTAATTTTATGCAAAATTGGTATTTTTTGCAGAAAATATCTGGCTATTCTTCCGTTTCTTCTTATCGGAAAAAAAAAACAATTTGCAAGCTTTTTGAGCTGCTTTTTGTAGAGAAACAATACTAGGAAATAATATGACAATAAGTTATAGGAAAATATTCAAAGTAAAATTGTAAATCAATTTGAACCTGATTTTTGATCATTTATTTATTTTGGAAAGTTGCATTAACATTTTATAGCTTTTCGTTATTGTCATTAATCTGATTTCTCTTTTATATACTGTATAATGATAAATAATGGTTTATTAGTTTCGAATATCTAAGCAACTACTTAAATTAGACAAAAATCGTAGATATCTTCATTAGATGATAGGCAGATACAATGAAGAGACTATATTACAAAATTATGGTTTAAAGCAGGGCTATGGAGTCGCGTAAAAATCTACCGACTCCAACTCCGACTTTTCCTTACCATCCGACTCCGACTCCACAGCCCTGGTTTAAAGCAATATCTATCTTTCCATGAAGCAACAACACTTCAGTTTCCAAGAGTGTTTTAGAAATTTTGGTTTCTATTATATATATATATATATTATTCAATTATATATTATTATTATTATTATATATTATTGGTTTCTAGTATATTTTGGAATATATATATATTCAAAAATATAATAGAAACCAAAATTTATACAACACTCTTGGAAACTGAAGTGTTGCTGCTTCATGGAAAGATAGATGTTGCTTTAAACCATAATTTTATAATATAGTCTCTTCATTGTATCTGCCTATCATCTAATAAAGATAAAAGGGCTGAAAATAGCAATTTAAATAAAATGTAAGCTATTAATAAAGTGCATGATTACAATATAAGAAATTCTATGTATTGTAGAAATTCAGGTAAATAGGAATAACACCTAAAAGAATATTGTATTGTTCTTCATGGTGAGATTAAGTGAATTAGTTTTAATCAGTCAACTGTGATAAAAAAAAACAGATAATAAAAAAAGGAAACTGAAAATATTTATGAAAAGAGAGGAAGAAATGATCTATTTTAGTATAGTATCATTTTTGAAAAAAGAAAACTTTTCAGATGAACTGAAATTTAATCCATATAACTTGGATATTTACTATTGTGCTACCATTAGCATGAAAGCATCCTTATGTGAATCTAATTAAAACTACTGCAAGGAAACCTATGATCACTGATGGAACAAACATTCATTAGTAGCATAAAACAATTAATCAAAGTTTGATATGATGATGAGAGTAAAACAATCAATATTTGGAATCATCATTTATCATCTTTAATAATTAACATTTAACATTAAAAACTTAGAAAATAATCTGGCTATTCTTGATTATCATTGTTATATGATACAAAAAAATATTGATACATTTATTATATGCCTTTCTAAACCATTGTTTTGTTATGCATTACAAGGGAAAGAATTGGAATTGTGTCAAATTTCACTCTCAGCTTTTTTGCAAATCTCCATGTTTTGAGATCCACTAAACCCAAAAAAGTAGAGGAAAAAATTTCATGGGCGGTGTGTGTGTGTGTTTTGGTGTCTATTTCATTAAATCTCAGGATTAAAAAATGAAATTTGACATATAGCTTGTGTATAAGGGGCATTGATGCTATTAAATTTTGGTGGTAAAAGACCAAAGGAGTGGAAAGATAGAGGGGATCAGCATGCTTCATATCTTAAGAGGAATCAGATTTAATGAAGTTTTTACTTGTGTTTTGTAAAAAAAATTGTAGATGTTAAATAACATCTCTACCCTCAAAATTAAGCTTTTTGCCATTCTATAATAATTAATAATATAAAAAGTTTATAATAAAATCTCATAACAGATGGCAACACACACAATTTTATTTATTATGATTAATATAATTTTTTTTCATAAAAGCTGGAAAAGTTTAAAAAAATCCAGCAATAAGTTCTGAAATTCGTGTTATTAATAGTCCATTTAAATCAATTCCAAAGTAATAATTTTACAATTTGCTAAGAATTATGCAATTATTTTAGCAACTACTTTAAATCTGGTTTAGAAATATTTGGCAAAATAATACGTAAAAATTAACATTCACTTAAAAAACTTATAGTGACTTGATTAAATTTTACAATACAACTTTGGCATAATCATTGTGTTAGAGCAACTAATAATTACAAAGTTACTTAAAATATTTGTTTTCTATTTTTTAGAGAAAGTGAAGTGATTAGACTAGGTTATATCCTAAATGATTTAAAACAATTTTACTAAGAAGCATTTATCAAAACAATTTCATGTAAAAAGTTCTATGAATTCTTTAAAAATTCCCTGGTTTCTACGTAAATAGAAAATAACCTGAAAAATCTTGGTTTTCTAGTTCAGTTGTCTTAATTTAATAGGTTTGATTATAATTAATACATTACTTCTTTAAATTTAATAATTATATATTTTACAAAACAATGAAATCATTTAATCTGTAGAATGCCATATTTTTTGCCTGTTAACTTACAATGAAGAGAAAATGAGCTGCTTTTTTATAATTACACAGTTATATACAGATTTATAAAAATAATTTCATTTATATGTATATTTGAACTGAATTTAAACTAAAATTTTAAATTTAAAAACAAAATTTTCAACACAGTATAACACAGATTAAAACTGTGACCTTTATTTACAAAGTACACAAATTTCCCATTCCAGACTCCCCAAAAATAAACTAACTGGAAATACAAAGACTTAACTCTAATGTACCACATACATAAACAGAATTTTAAAAATTTTTTTCTATTAACTGCATCAAGGACAGGAAGGTAATTATTGAAATACTCACACAAATATCAAAAATTAAATATGTATTAGTAAAGATAGCAAAGGTAGTGGAACATGTTTTCTAACAATTGTGAAAGTCATTAACAGCTATTATTTTTAAACCATTAATATGAATCTAGCAATTTTCTAATGTTTAATCATAACAATTCTAAGTTTCAGATAGGAAATTTGGCATAATTCAGAGAAAAGTGCTTTCCATGGTTCTGTGTATATCTTTCTGCTTGTTCAATACTATCACAGACACATTCTGATTAACAGGATAAAGGCTGTCATGACTTTTACACACACAATTATACGTGCACAAATTGAAGAACCATGTTCTCCCTAAGGGCATATTCACTAAAATAACATTGGGAAATCAATGCTAGAATATTTCACCCTTAATAAAAGTCTCTTTGATATACAAGCAATGGATAACATACATCATCATATTTCATATTGTTATCAATATTTACGGGTCCTAAATAGTCTTTGAATTGGGAAGAGAAAAATTTCCACCAATTTGGGGAGCTGCTTTTAATGACATTAAATTTATGATAAACCAGTTGCGAGTTTACTCTGTACAAGTGATGTTTTCCTAGTTGGCAAACTGTCTGGAGTAGGAATAGCTTCTCCTGTTGGTTGTTGGGCCATGGCTGATAATGGAGTACGTGTCTTCTGACCTTTTGCTTTAGCCATGTTGTAATCTCCAGAATCAAAGTATTTCTGCTACAAATAAAATCAGTTATATTTTATCTGAATGAAAATAAAATACATCAATTATTTTTTTTCACAATTTTAAAATTATTATTCCTTCTTAAATTTGACTGAAAATAATTAAAAATTTAATGGCTATATTCCATCAAATTAAATCTAGAATAATATTTAAATTATAAGTTTAGTTTAACTAAGTATTCACCATATGTTAATTCTGAATTTAAATCTGTTAACTCAGTGAATTAATTTTTGAATTACATGTTAACATATACTGTTTACATTTATTGTAATACAACAAGAATCTATTTATGATTTTTTATAATAATTTTAAGATCTTTCAAAAAGTTGAAAATAAAGAACTAGATCATAAATGATTAAATAGTGACTTGATATTTACAATATTTATAAATTTTTATATAAAAATTACAACTGTTTACAATTTTGTGATCGTGGAATTCCACAATACCTGTTACATTTTCTCTATCATCTTCTAGATTATTGTTTTTGTTTATTTGTTACTGCTTTTTAAAAAGTATTCTTTATATGGTGAAATTCCGTTAACACAGCATCTGATATGTCGGCAAACTGATAAGCCAGCATGTCAAACTCGTCTTTGGGCAGTATTGGTGCACTGGATATTCATATATATACATGTAACTAGGTAGCCAGTTAATTAAAACTAAAAATAATAATTAAGTTTAAAAATATTTAATTAAAATTTATAGCTCTGACCTTTATACCAAAACTAAAAATAAAATTGAAATTAATTAGAATTAAAGTCAAATCAATTGAAACATAATATTTCAGAAAGTGTGGATGAAGTACTGTCTGTTTTGATTAATTTGGTTATATTTCATTCAGGCAGTCAGAGTCAAGTCTCTATTTTGGGCACTTCTTTGTAAAGTGTTAGTTTTGTTTGGCAGTGACAGAACAGAACATTTTGCTTTTATTATGTAAAATATATAGAATATAGATATAGATAAAGTGTACAAAGCCCAAAGTAAGATTCTAGTTAGTGTGTTCTTGTTTCATACTAATCAAAGGTAGGAATAATCTGGAAAAATTGAAATGGTGTGTTAATTAAACAATCATAAAAGGCAGATTTATACAGTTCTACATGCAAAGATATGTAACATTATGTCAGGGAATCGGAAAAAAATTCCATCAGTAAATATGTCAGCATATTCGATAAACTGGCACTTGCATTGGCCGACGATGCTAGGTTAATGAAATGTCAAGGTATTTTGAAACTAATTCTAATAACAGCTTTTTCTCAAATTAGTATAGTTTCTTTTGCCATCAGAATCTGTTGTCTCTTGGGTTTCCAACCTGGTTGCTAGCAACCAACTTAACAGGTCAGACAAAAATTTCTAGGATTGTTTGTGGTCGATATTTATTTTTTATTATATTTAATACACTTGTGTCCAAAATTAAAGCAACACACACACACACACACACGTACATGGCAAAAAATGCAGAAATGAATAGTCCTCCATCACAATGAATCACCCAAGTGTCTTCTCTGAGGTATGCCTAATAAGCTACTGATGTACCAGGAACACTTTCTTGCTGTTAGTGATACTAACATGTGACGGTTTGTTAGAAACAATTTTGATGTATATTACATTTTACAAATTTGATGCACATTACATTTTATCATACGAGTGTGCTGTTGTAGTGCTTCATTTGCATGACACTTATGTGATAAGATGATAGTTTGTTGCTGATTTATATTTGATGTAAGTTTCAGCTACTCATGTTTCATGGTGTTCATTTTGCATGGATTTTGTGTTTGTTACATTTGTTGCTTTTAAGTTTGGACATCAGTGTAATATAACAATAACTGATATATCTTTAAATTTTAAACACACAGTTTTGATTGGTTTAATTAAAAAACAGTATAATAAAACAAGTGTAAAAAAGAATTTGAATGAACCAGAAACCTGCCTAAATGAAAAAATTATTCGGAATGGAACAATTTTCTTTGTTAAATTTTACTGTAAGACAGAAACCTGTTGAATGTGGAAACAGAAGAGGTTTGTGCATATGAAGAACATAATTTAAACTGAATAAAAAGCAAAAAAATTATGAACTATTCTTTTCCACAAAATAATAATAGTTTTCTAATAATGCTTTTAGTATTTTTCTTCCTTTTTTCAATGAACTTCACAGATATCCACAGATTTAATTGTGCACACTGTGACGACCACATAAAACCTCAAACATTCGTAAATTCTGATAAATATTCTTTCAATGGTGGACTAGTCGGGTATGGTTCTACCCCCAGTAGTGGAGAATAAACATGGGAAATTTTTAAAGTATTTTTCCACGTGTTTTTTCTCATTACTGTTTCGGAAAAAGATTTTGTAAACAGTTATGTCTAGTAAAGAAAAGTCTTTTTTTATTGTTACATAATTCATTTTTTATGTGAATTTTTTTTCATGGTAGTTTTAGGCTAGTTTTTGGCAATACCCTTCAAAAGAATTTGACAACTATAGTCGTCCCTCACCACTGCCACACGATCACCCTTGACGACTATAGTCGTCACTCACTGATGAGTGGATATTCTAGATAAAAGTTTGCTTTTTTATGTAGAATCAGAAATTTGCAAATTTAGATTGAAATGAAGTTTACTGCATTTTCATTGATTGTAGCACCATCTATAATAAAACTAATAGCCTCATCTTGTAACCACTTAATGTCTGACATTTTTGGTTCAATGATTTTTTGTAGGATGCATATTTTTCAAGTTATTCCACTGGAGTGATTAAAATGAATTACCTGTATATATATTTTATTTATTTAAATATATAATTAAAAAACAATGTGTATTGTATATATATACCTATAATTAATTATATAATTAATAGGCATTAAATTTTATACAGTATAAAGAATCAAAGTCGAAAATTCTAAAGTTAGTACTGAATCATTCTTATGCCCACCATATAATTTTTTAAAAATTTATTGTTGTATATAAGATATAAGAAAAACAAGTAATGTGGGTTCTTTCTATTGTACTCAAAAAATTTTGAACAGTATACTATCTTGTATATAAATGATGAAAATCACCCAATTATTGTCTTTTTTAAAATAAATATCATGTTTTGCATGACATTTTTTGAAAAATTTGTATGCAACATCCCTAAACAACTTTCAAGGATGTTCAACCAAGTCAATGCAACAAAATTTGCTATACTGCTATAATGCTACTATACTGGACAGGAAGGAACTAGTGACATGGTACTACATATGTAGAAAGCTTTTATTGCACCCATGTACGCTGGATGCTAGCACACAGCCTTATACAATGTATTAAGCAATTTGATTATAAATATTAATTGTATAGTATGATAATTTTACAATTGAAATAATATAACTAGTTAAAAAAAAATTGTGTTCAATAAATATAATTATGTTTTGTCATACTGGATTGTAGAAACAATATCCTGTCAATTGTTACTATATTTTGTTATATGCAGTGATGGGACAATTAATCAGAATCAGGAATTGAAAAAATCAGACATTTTCCAAGTATTGGAATTGGAATCAAGCAAATCTCATCACAATTTCCGATTCTTTCACATTTAACAAGAAAATTAATTATTTGTTTCAGTCGAAGATTAAAAACTTTTTATAATTATGATATTAACAATTAAGTATTAGTTCATTGTAAACTTTCACATTGGCAAAGCAGAGAGTACTTCACCCATATACAAGGCGATGTCTGTCACAGCAGACTTTTCTTTCACGTAATCAGTGACAAGAGATTGCACTCTGTCAGTACTAACTGTTTTCATTTTAGGGGAGATAGGGTGACATTAGTTTGCCACCTGGCCAGTATTTTGGCTTGACCAGCAATTTCAAATTGAAGCTGGTGATTGACAAAAATATTTAAGTGTCATTAATAATTATATTTTAGTTGAAAAAATATTATATAAAATTGTTTCTAATATTTATTATGTTTACTTATAATGATAAAACTCTTGAACAACACCTTAAATACCTTTTTCAACAATCCTTTAATTTATTTCAACCAAAGTTTGCAATCACTTTTCATAGGTCTGCACCAAGTTTAAGAAGACAGTTTTAATTTTTTTTCTTAAACCTGACCCAGACCTATAAAGTCAAAAAAACTGGTTTAAATAAAGTCTTACTAAAAAAGTATTTAAGGTGTTGTTCTAACTACAGTAAATTAGTTTTAGCACATATAGAAATGTTTTTTAATGATAAAATGACTTCCATTACAAATATGAATGTTTTTGTTATGATTCACAGATGATGCTGTAATATGTTAAATTTTCAAGTGATTTGCACAATTTTAAGTAAAACTAATTGTTTGCACTAAGTTTACTGCTGTTTTGAGTTTTAAAAATTTGATTTTACTTTCCTGGTTCTTATATGGTGATTGGTCAAAAAATGACTATGCAAGATTTTTACATTTTTGACTCAGGACCTTGAAACTTCAAGAAAAAAGGGGGGGGTTATTTCTATATATATGGATGTGTATGTGTATGGAAGGCACAGTTTTGTTCACCGTCTCCAAAGCTTAACTCCTGTGCTTTTTGTCAAAGATTTCTGAAATTTTCCAATAACATTTGTTTATTAGGGGGATTGATGCTATTAAATTTTGGTGATTAAAATTCAAGGGGGTGAGGAGATAAAGGGGTTTGTGTGTATCTCCAGTTGGGTCGAACTTAAGGACGATTGTACTCATTATCATCCTTTCAATTTTTTTTATAAAAACTATCCCTATCCTTAAAATTAAACTTTTTGTCATTTGTTGATGATTAAAAATATAAGTTTTTTAATACGATATCATAACAGATGGCACCACCAAATGTTGCCAGGAAAGTTAAACAACTTGTTGCTGGATTTTTTTCAAGATGAATCAGTCTAGGCATTTCTTTGATTCTTCTTTTCCTCAAAAAAAGTTCACACAATTGTACATTTAGGAAAACCTGGCTCGAGTGAATGAATTCAAAATTTGGTTAACTCGTGATAATGGCATT